GGTGGGTCGGCCGAGCGGGCAGCCGGGGTGTGGGGCGCCCGGAGCGCGGTCCCCCTCGGCCCCGGGGTCCGGGCTTCCAGCCTGGGTCGGCGTCCGCTTGAGCGTGATCGCGGGCATCGCGCGCAACCGGTCCTGTCCCGGGCTCCCCTTCTGCTCCAGGAGGGGGCTGGAGTCAGTGATTTGAGAGGGAGGCCGCAGGGTGACAGAAGGGCACTGGCCTGGAGTCCCCCAGAAGTGCCTGCTCCATCCGACTCCTCGTGTGTGATCGTGGACAGCTGCTAAAGTCCTCTGGGCCTCAGTCTCCTCATCTGTAGCACCAAAGCGTTTGCACTAGAGGCGGGCCGAGGGGCCCTGCTCAGCGTGGTGGACAGGAGGCTGGGGGTTCTCACCCCTGGGTGTCCGTTCCTGCTTCCTTGTGTGTAGATTAGGTAACTCGCCTCTCTTGAGTCCCAGCTGCCCGACTGGTATACATTCGTTCATTCACCCGACAGTAAAAGTTTGCTGAGCACCTTCCACTGCCAGCCTCGGGCCTAGGGGCTCAGGCGCCACATCAATGAGCAGGATAGACCCTGCCCTTTCCCCTGGAGGTTCCAGCCTCCAGAAGGAGAGGGACAGATTACAGGTAAACATTGGACTGTAACACAGCCTGGTGAATTCTGTGATGGGGAAATGTTGATGCCAGCCTTTACTGAATGCTGACCGTGTGCCCGCGCTGACCTGGATTTTCTCACTGAATCCCCAAAACAACTTTGTGAGTTTGTGCCATTAATGTCTCCATTTTGTAGAAGAGGAAACTGAGGCACAGAGAGGTGAAGTAACTTGGCAGAATGACAGCCGTGTGTCTAACCCCAAAGCCACTGTATTGTACGTGGATGAGGTGGTCCCAGACGGCTGCCTGAAGGGGATTTGTGGATGCTTCATGTGGCGGTTGTTATGGAATGGGATGCTGTGTGGAGATGCCTGGCATACATTTGATCAGTGGTGGTGTGGTCACTATTTTAGGTCCTTGCAGCTTTGACCTCCTTGAGACATGAAGTCTGGTGGGGTCTGAGAGTAGGTGGTGTGGTCTTGTCCCCGCATTGCTGGCCCACGTGAAAAGGAGACGAGTCAGCCTGTGTAAGCCCGGGCTCTTTCACACTGCAGGTGACTCCTGGGAGTGTTGTGCTGCAAAGGGGTGATACAGGCTGAAACTAAAATAGTGCAGGATGCTTGCAGGTAAGTTTGAGGCTGTCACATCCCGCTGGTGATTGAGAGACACTGAGAGACATGGGCGTCTTGTGTGGGGAGGGAGTAGCACGCAGAGCCTTCACTGGGTGCAGGCCCCGAGCTGAGCGTTCACGGGCATTTGGTTCTCTGTCCTCACGCCAGGCCCCTGAGCGGGGGACGAGGCTCTGCCAGGTTGTTCTTTGTCCAGGGTCCCATGATGAGTCAACAGTGGGTCTGGATTTCCACCCTGGTCTGTCTGCACCCCTAAGTCAGAGCTTTTAATCATGGGCTACCTGGTGAGGCGACAGTTAGCGTCTGTCGTAGTCTGTTTGGGCTGCGATAACACAAATGCCATGAACTGGGTGGCTTATACACAACAAGCATTGATTTCTTACAATTCTGGGGGCTGGAAGTCTGGCATCAGGGTGCCAGCATGGTGGGTTCTGGTGACGGCCCTCTTCTGAGTTGCAGACTGACACCTTCTGGCTGTGTCCTCAGAGAGTGGAAGGGTGGAGGGATCTCTCTGGGACCTCTTTTATAAGAGCAGTGATCTCATTCACGAGGACTCCACCCTCACGATCCCATCACCCCACCTCCAATACCATCTCCTTGGAGGTTAGGATTTCAACATATGAACTGGGGGAGGGGGAGCATGAACATTCCGACCATAGTGGTAGCCCATATTGCAGCTGAGTAAGCTGAGGCCTGCAGGGGTGGCCCAGGCTGTCTGGGTTTGCACAGCTGGTCAGTAACGGCTGCACTAGTCAGTTGAGGGCAGTGGCGGCTCAGGCCAGGGCCGTGGGCATGGAGGGGCTCTGGCTGGAGGGTGGGGCTGATGAGATTGTCTGATGGCTTGAATGTGACCTTTGCAGCAACCTGTTTTCTAAGTGGACTCCTTTATTCCATCTCCTCCGTCTTGTTTCTCTTTCTAAAGTGCACATCTGACAATGGGACTCTTCTGGTTAAAAACCTCCGGTCACTCCTGGTTGCCTACAAAAGATAATGGCTAGTTTCCAGCGTGGTGCATAAAGTGGCTTACCTTCCCTGGGGCGTCCAGCCTAACACAGGTGCCCGTGCACCCACCGCATCCTGCTCTCCAGCTTCCCAGAATCTCCTTGATCCCCAGATGCCTCTGCGCTTCTGCACATCTGTTCTCTGCCTCTTGTGCGCTCATCCTTCAGGACCCAGAGAGAAGACCCTGCAGGGAAGCTAGACCAGGCACCTCCTCCCCCGTGCGTCCTGGGCACTCTGTCCTCCTCTGGTCCAAGGGGAGCTCATCACTTTGTCTTGCACTGCTTTCCTTTTGTTGTTTTTGTTTTATTTTGTTTATTAGTTTTATTTATTGCTTCATAAAACTTATTTGCATCAAAGTTATGCATGCACATAATTTAAAGTGTTGGTTTACAAGCAGCAACACCCCACCCATTTCCCACTTCTCAGAAACCACCTTGTCCAAATCTTTCAGCTGGTTGTTTTGGTAATTTTCTCCCCATTTCTAAATAACTTGCTTTCGAGGCTGCTTCTTGTGTTTTCCGCTTTGGGCAACGGCCATCGTCTTCCTGCTGGGGCGGGGGAGTGAGTTAGTCTCTTCTCTCTCCTCCTTTAGCTATACGCCCACCCAGCCACCACCACGACCACCCTCCCTGTGTGCGTATAGGGTAGTTTTGGTTAAATGAGTGCTCAGTGTTTCCTTTATTAAGATCCTGTAAACATTTTTCATTGTAAGTCAGGGGTCAGCTATGATTATGATTACTTTCCTTTTTTGCACAGCATTTTATTTTCCCTGAAATCAATAGTTACACAGTTATTCCCATTTGCTTAGATTCTGTGTACTTATCATTCCTTTAACACTAAACTCTCCCCGTTTATGTCCATTTCCTCTCAAGACATTTGAATACATTAGGTGTTGGATCAATTTAATCTTCTAGAAAAACGTGTCTCCCAGAAAGCTTCTGGCTTGCTCCCGTCTGAGCTGGTTGCTCTCCAGAACCCTGTGCTCTCAGTGTGGACAGACCAGCGCGTCAACATCCGTGGGAGCTTGTTAGAAATGCCAGTTCTCGGGCCCCGCCCCACTCACTGATGAGAGTCTCTGGGGAGGGGCCCAGCAAGCTGTGCTGAACAAGCCCTCCAGGGATTTATTTGTTCTTAAAGTTCCAGAAGCAGCTGCTCTAGGCTTTTGCCGTGCAGGGGGACCTCTGGGGCCATCACGCTGGGCCCTCCTCACCTCGCTCCTGGGCTGGATCCCCTTTCAGGAATCCCCTGCTCTGTCTTTCTTGGCTAATTTCCTCATGTGGGTGGAGCACATCCTCCAGTATCTGTCTGAGAAAGGGATGGATGGAACTTCTTTTGAGAATTTCTCGTCTGAAAACATGGTGTTCTTCTACCTTTATTGGTAATTTGGTTAGAGTAGTTAGGTTATAGAATTCCAGGCTGGAAATAATTTTCCCCCAGAATTTTGCAGGCATTTTCTCCATCGTCTTCCAGCTTCCGTTGTTGATGTTGAGGAATCAGGTTCTATTCTGATCCCTGGTACTTTGCATGGAATCTTTTTTTCCTAGTGTTCCTCTATAGAATCTTAAAGGATCTTTTCTTTGCTCCCAGTGTGTGAAATGCACCAGGATGGGTCCTGGTGGTAGTAATCCATCGTGCTGTGTGTTCGGAAGGCCCTTTCAATCTAGAATCTCCTTTTCTTGATTTCTTTGATGATTCTTTTCCTTTTATAGGTTCTGTTGCTTCTTTCAGGAATGCCTATCATTTTTTGGTTGAATTGGGCTTCTAAGTATCTTCCTTCTCTCCTATTTTTCATCTCTTTGTCTTTTTACACTGTTTTCGGGGAGACTTTTCTCAACTTTATACTTGCATTGAGTTGTTCATATTTTTAATTTTCAAGAGTTCTTTTTTGTCCTCAAAATGTTCTATGTTTATCCTATCCTGTTCTTATTTTGTGAATGTAATATCTCCCCTTACGTCTCTGAAGATATTATAATTGTTTCTTTGTTTGTGTTAAGTTTTCTCTTCCCTGTGCAGGGTCTGTTTCATCCTTGTTTTTTCCTTTTGTTTGTTTTGGGGTTTTCTTTCATATGAGAGTCTGTCCTCAAGCGGCTGGTGACCCTTGGCCTCCTGATCATTTTTTAACTGGGGAGCAAATAACTGATGCTCCCCTGTGGATGAGGTTTTTCTCCTGGAGTCTTTTCTGTAGGATGATCAGACTGGGTCCTTCCTTGCAGAGCCCTTGTACTGGTCAGTTATGACTGCTCAACAAACAAGCCCAAAATCTCTGGCTTCATCTTCTACCATTCTCTACCCAACCCTGGCCTGCTGCAGCCACACGGGTTTCCCTGGATATGCTGAGCATGCTCCTGCCTCAGGGCCTTTGCACTTGCTGTGCCCTCTCCCTGGAATGCTTGTCCCTGAGATATCTGAATGGCTTACTCTCTCATGTCCTTCAAGTTCCTTCTCAAATGCCCCCTTATCCAGGTGGCCTTCCCCTCCTGTCACTGTCCATCCCCTCATCCTCTATTATTTTCCCCTGTAACACTTATCACCTCTGACATACTATATATTTATTTGTTTGTTTGCTTACATCTCTCTCCTGTCACTGGAATGTAAGCTCTACGAGGTGGGGGCTTTGTTTATGTTGTTCATTACTCCAGTCTCAGTGACAAGAATAAGGCCTGACACTTTGTAGATGCTCCATAATAGTTGCAGACTCAGCGACAAACTGGCGATATTTCTTCACTTCAAAGGTTATATCCATGAGCAGCTGCTGGTCAGAGAGGGGCTTGATGAGTGTCTCTGGCATAATTGGATTTTAAATACAGTGGATCGTTATGTTCTGTAAAGTCACCTCAAACACAGAATCAGCAAATACTGAATCACTGCTCCTGGGGCACAGGGCTAGGCTTCTGCGAGACTCTGGTCACAGCATTTTCATTAACCCGTCAATGCATAACCTTGTTTTATGTGTGTTTCTGGTCAAAGAGACCGTATTTAATATACATTGTAACTTCATTAACGTAGAACTCAGGGCCGCCGGCACTGTAACTCAGGCCCGAACGAAGCTTATCTAACGCACGCGTTTTCTCCGTGAGGCACATCCCGGCCTTCCTGTGCCCAGAAACACTAGACGGCTCTTCAGCACTACACTCAGGGGCCATTTTAAACAGCGAAATCGCCAACAAAAAGCACAAAAATGTGGGGGAGAAAAGGCACTCAATAGTGCGGGGAACGGCCCCTTGTTTGCAGTAGGAGAGCTGAGACAAGAGGACAGAGCCTCGCCCTGTCCAGTCGCAGTGCAAAATCGCCTGTCAGGCAACTCACGTTTTTCACCGTTCCGCACACCTTCCAGAATGACCACCAAAGCACCATGAGTGTTGATTTGGGTTTACAAACAACTGATTTGGGGGCTTCTCAGGAAGGTGGCACCTGGACGGTCTTGAAGGATGTGTCGCTGAGCCCAGGCGGGAGCGGGAGATGGGGCACTGCACACACGGGGCCAGGCAGGAGCACCGAGATGGGCAGACAGGACTGCTGGGGGGGTTGGTGGCTAAAGTCACAGGGGCACTAGGCTGACCGACTTCAATGTCCCCCCCTCCTTTGGATTTTAGAAAGATGACGCTCAAAGTCTGCTCAAGAATTTGGAGTCTAACGCACAGACCCCCTCGGAAACCGCCTCCCCACCCAGGAGGAGGAAGAGAGAAGCGCAGACCTCAAAGGATGAGGAGCCTCTGGACGTAAGCTGTGTGTTGGGGTGTGTTTGCTGAGGTGACGTTGGGTGTCATATGTCCCACCTGGCAGCACAGCTGTCAGACAGACGAGCCTCTGACAGATCTCGGGTCCCAGTAGGCTTCTTTTTTGAGGTATAATTTATATACAATAAAATGCACAGATTTTAAGTTTACCATTTGGTGAGTTTGGCAAGTGTATACACCCCGGTAACTGATACCCAATCAAGAACGTCCCAGCACCCCGAAAGTTCTCTAGTGCCCCTTTCTGGTTAGTCCTCCCATCCTCCACCCCTTCCAGAGGCAGCCTCTGTTGTGATTTCCGTCGCCATGATTGGTTTTGCTGTTCTAGAACCTTCTTTGAGTGGAATCGTGTGCTTTCTTGCGCCTGCATTCCCTCAACATAATGCCTTTGAGATTTATCTGTGTGGTTGCCCGTAGCAATAACTCATCCTTTTTAATTGCATAGTCCCTTGTGGGGATTTGCCACAGTGTGGGTTGTTTCCAGTGTTTGGCTATTCTGAATAACACTTCTGTGCATGTTTCTATATGTTTGTTTACTTGTTTTCATTTCGTTTTATTTCTTTTCAGTAAATATTCGGTGAATATCTGGGAGTGGGAGTTCTGGGCCTCGGACGGAGATGTTAAAAGATGGATTCTCCCTGTTCCTTCCTCACTGGCCCCTACTCCATCCCGCCGGAGCCTGCCCATAAGGCATCGCTTCCCGCATGAGCTCCACGGATGGAGAGGGCGTTTCTTCCACAGACGTGATATTTGTAGTCACTTCCTGGTCCCCAGAAAGTGCCGCAGGCTCCAGTCTTTCAGCCTCAATTGTCTAAAGGTAAAGACAGGTAGTTAGGTAGGTAGATAGATATAGAGAGAGAGGGAGAGAGAGACCCTGGGAAAAGAAGACTGAATGAAGTTTCTTTTTAGCCCCTGCTGAGTGCCACGCATTTTCACGCAGATCATTTCCGAGTGATGTGGACACTCGTGTGGATTATCTCTTGCAGTTCTCTCAGCAGCCCCATGGGGTTGGTTTCTATCCCCATTTTCCAAATGAGGAAACTGAGGCTCGGGAGATGGTCGCTGTCCCGAGGCACATAGCTGAGATTTGGGGCTGTTCGGCCCCTGCCTGGGGAGGGCCGCTTCCCCACACCCCACTGCCCTGGCGCTCCCAGTCATGGCCAGCAGCGTCCGCTTACCATGGTGTTTTAAAATGAATTTCACCAAAAAGTTTGAAATCAGTAGGGGGAAGCTTCTAGTTAAGTTGAAAAATCGGTTTTGGGGAGTCACCCCCTGCAGGCACTTCCCACAGATTCTGGAGACAGAGCTTCCCTCACCCACCCTGGGCAGGACCCCGTGGAAGGATTCACTGCCCTCCCCAGGGCTGACCCGGGGCGCTGGAGCTGGAGAGGGAGCTCCTGGCTGCTCTAGGAGCAGGGCTCACCGCAGATGAGTCGACACGTCCTGGTATGGCTGTGTGTCTTCAGCTCATGCTCCCACCCTCTCTGTTTCTAGGTGCTTGTCTCTCCATGTGTGTCCGTGCCTGTGTGTGTATCAGTGTGTCTCTCTGTATGTCCATCTCTCTTTTTTTGTGCGTCTCTGTGGGCCTCTGTGTATGTCTGTGTGACAGTGTGGATTTGCCTGTGGGTGTGTGATGTCTCCCTGCCTGTTTCTCTTTCCCTCATCTGTCTCTTTCTATCCCTCTGTTCCCCTCCCTCGTTGTTATTAAAACCCTGCTCATAGAAATGAAAACATATGTCCATGTAAAAACTTGTACACAAATGTTCATAGCAGCACTGTTCACAATAGCCAAAATGTGGAAACACCCTAAATGACCATCAGCTGACGAATGAATAGACAAAGTGTGGTCTGTCCATACAGTGGAATACTATTCAGCCGTAAAACGGAATGAAGTCCTGAAACATTCTGCAACATGGATGAACCTTGAAAATATTACTCTAACTGAAAAAAACCAGTCACAGGAGACCACATATTATAGGATTCCATTCGTATGAAGTGTCCAGAACAGGGAAATTTATGAGACAGAAAGAAGACTAGTGGTTGCATAGGGTGGGGGCAGGGGAATGGGAGGAACGGGGTGATGGCTAAAGGGTACAGGGTTTCTTTTTGATGTGAGGAAAATGTTCTACAATTGACTGGTGATGATTGCACATATCTGTGAATATACTGAAAATTATTAAATTGTACACTTTCCGTGGTTGAATTGCCTGGTATGTGAGTCATATCTCAATAAAGCCATTAAAAAAAAACAACCCCACTCACACAGCGGGCAGCCTTGGATGTGATGAAAACAACACTGGCTTCGGGATCCAGAATCCCGGAACCCGGTCCCAGCTCTGCCACCTGTTTGCTGTGTGATGTTGAGCAAGAAACATAACCTATCTGAGCCTCAGGTTTCCCAGCTTTACGATGACAGTAATGATGCTGGGCCCCCAGGGTCACCAAAGAGTTAACTCTGTGAACATTGCTGCCACACAATAGGTGCTCAGACAGTGTTTGCAGGGGAGCCCAGTCTTCCTACCCCCCTAGGAGGCTAGCTTATTTTTTCTACCTAGTAATGTTTTACCTGTTAACTATTTAGCCATGCCTTGCCGATGCCCATAATCAAGCTAATAATTGCCAAGCGTTAAGTTAAAGATCTGCCTGTTCCGGTGACTGGCTTACCGAAACGCGCCTGCCTTCTGCAGACTGAGCTCGTCAAGGAATGTGGGCAGGACTGATTTCGACGGGGTGGGTTGAGCTATAACTCCGACGTCCTTGAATGCACGGAAAGCCCAGACGTTTGTGGCTTGTGCCACCCCTTGCATGAATCCTGTTTTCATAAATAGCTCACGTCAGCTAAAAACAAACAGAAGATTCCAGAAGGCTCTGAGGCGTGCTACTTCACAGCCTCGGACCTCTCCATCATGTCCTTCTGCTTTGGAGGAGGGAGGGGATGTCTCCTCTATGGATGCATTTTGTGCATTCACTGAAGGAACACCTCTATGTCAGGGAGTGAAATGGCTTTTCTTTTCCTACAGTTATGCTTTAACTAATTTTCTGAATAATTGCATTGCTTCAGCTGAAGAAGTTTTACGTTGTAAATTTGTGCTATAACCAATTTTCTGAATAATTGTTTTGCTATGGTTGTGGAGATTATCAGAATTTGGAGGACATATGAACTTAAGAAGAAGAGCTGTAAAAAACTAAAAATGGTGGGTCCTGTTCAGGTAGCAGAAGCCTGTTCAGTCCTGTTCACTGATTCCGTTTGCCAAGTGCTTCTAGGTCCTTCATCCCGGGACATACGCGTGACTGTCACTGGGCCTGCCCTTGAGGGGACTGCAGTCTGCAGTGGGTGGGATGGAAAAGCCATTGCGTCCAGAGGTTCCCCACACAGCTGGAGTAATGCTGGCAGCTGGGATTGTGTTTTTAATGCACATGCCCAGGCTCCTTGTCCCCACGTTCTGCTTCCAAACATCTCAGGTGGCCCATAGCCATCCACATCCTTTCTCCTTATAATTACGTTTTTCATATTATGTGCAATTTTGTTTTTGTGTCTACCCTTTTGAAAATGAACCTCTGAAAGGCAGTGACCATGCTTTCCTCTCCTTTTTCACCCCTTTCATTCTGTTCTTTCTTTTCACTTCTGTTTGTAAGAAGTTTCAAGACACGCCGTGCCCTTTGTGCTTTAGCGTCTTTCCCTGAGCAGGTGTGCCTCCACCTGGACATCAGCCAGGGCCGGCTTCACGGGTGCGCGACCTGTGCAGTCACAGGCCCTGTGCTCAGTCAGGCTCTGGCCCTCATTTCTGGACTCTGCTGTCTTGAAATTCTTCATCATTTTTGAGTAGGATTCCCCCACCCTCATCTTCATTTCGCGCTGGGTCCGCAAATTATAGAACCAGTTCTGAAGTCAGCCTTCTTAATCTTCCTGCCACTCATTGCTTTTGTACCAACACAGCTTCAAGCAGAGAGTGGGACTGGATGCTGGGGGCTGGGGGCAGGCCATGCTCTGCTCCCCCGGGTCAAAGGAAAGCCAGGAAGGGTTTTAAGCCAGGCAGTGATGGAAACTGCATGTTTAGAAGATCATTTGATTGCCACGTGGAGAATGGATTGGAAGGTGTGGGCCTCTGAGCCTTGGTTTGCCTCTCCGTAAAATGGGATGATCATAGCACCAGCCTCCCAACGCTGACTGTCTTGTGATAATTAAATGAGCAAGTGTGCATCAAGTGCCTGCACACAGTAGGCCCTCAGTACACAGATGGGGAGCCAGCTGGGAGGCCGTTGCAGCCTTCAGGGTAACGGTGAGGGTGGCTTGGCCCAGGGCTGTGGATTTGAGAGACATTTAGGAGGTTAAGTTGGTGAGATTTATGGTTGATTGGACATGGCGGGTTGGGGTGTGGGGGTAACAGCACCCCAGGATCTGACTTGTGGCCCAGGGGCCTGGTGAAGCCAAGCCCAGGGGCCGGCTCTCCTGAACTCCCACTTCCTTGAATTTCCTGGCTCCCACACTTGTCCTTTTGGTATCACGTTGAAGGAGACAGGATGGTGTCAGCTAAAGAGGAGGGACTCTGGAGCCAGGGAATCCGAATTCAGATCCCAGTTCTGGCATTTATTAGCTGTGTGATCTCGGGCACACGGCTTAACCTCTCTGTCATCTTCCCCGTCTGGGACATGGAGACAGCAACCTCTGTGGCAGGGTCCTTGGAAGCTTCAGGAGGTAGCACGTGTTGGGGGTCTTGCCCCACTCTTGTCATCTAAGTCTGTTTTTGTGAGTCATAAGGTATAGATAGAAATGACAAGACCCAGGGCCCTCACCCTCGCTGCCCTGCTCAGAAGGGCATCACGTGGGTGAACCCCTCTCTGGAGACCTATGTGGGCCACGGTCTGGTGCTGTTTCAACATCCCACATTATGAGGAAGTGATCATTCCTTCTGTGTTCCCCCCCATAGGGTGTCTTATTCCAAGGTGAAATCAGCAATTGGAAACCAATCATTTGGTTTCTTCAAGATTTGGTTGAAAAGCATTGAAACAGATGTAGATGCAGTTTGTACCTGTCACCTGTTCAGGACTGTTGAGTGGACGTTGCTCCTGGTCTGGAGTCTCCTGACTTGTCTGCCTGCTCGCCTTCATCCACCTGCTGGTGTTTCCAAGGCATTTATTCAGCGCTGACTTCACCAAGTGAAGACATACAGAGAGGATGTGGGGGTGTAGAGGAGGCATGAATAAGTCCATCCAGCTACAGTCAGGGAAGGCTTCCCAGGGGAGGCACTTCCTGAGCAGGGTTTGACAGCAGCTCCTTACACCACTACTTACAGCCGCCCCCTGCTTAGCTTCTCTACGCCATCCTGGGGCAGATATGCACCTGTTACTGTCTGGGAAGACTGAGGCTGAGAGGTTACAGACTTGCCCAACCACTTCTTTTTGTTTAAGGATCTAATCCAAAGTATTGTGTGAATATTGTCACATGTAAGTGTTTATACCCCGATGACTCTAAAATTATTCTGTGTTTTCTTTTTCCACTAAAAGGTGTTCACAATAAAAATTATAGAAAAAGAAAACAATAATTTTAGAGTCGTCAGGGGTATAAACACTTACATGTGGCAATATTCATGCAAGACTTTGGACTAGATCCTTATTTCTTCCAAAGCTGAAGACTTAGAATTAAATGAAGAATGTGCTGTTCTCTTTTGATAACATCTATCTGTCCATCCATCCACCCACGTACATTCATCCATCCCCCATCCAGCCATCTATCCATCCATCCTCCGACTTATCCATCTGTCTGTCCATTCATCTGTCCATCCATCCATCCATCCATCCATCCTTCCATCTGTCCATCTATCTATCTGTCCATTCACCAACCATCTACCCATTCATCCATCCATTCACCCATTGCTCTAGCAAGTGAGCACTTACTTGGATCTAAATGTGCCTATTATGGTCCCTCCCTGAGGCCACTGTTACAAATGGGATGCGGCATTTTGGAAACTCTTGGTGGTTTATCCTTCGTTTTATGGAACATGCCATTTGTTCTCTCTCCTTCCCAGGAATGTGGGCCGTCTTTCAACAGCAATATCACAGCATTTGCACTGAAGGCAAAAGTCGTCTATCCCATCAATCAGAAGTTCCGGGTGAGAGTCCTGAGCTCCCTCTTAGAAACGCAATTATTCCGTAATGTACCTGAGGTTAGGGTAGGAATGGGGGATTAAATGTGGGACTTTTGGTCCTGTTTGAGGGTTTTATGGCAATTCATTGTAATAGGGATACTTTTGAGCCTTTGTAACTGAGCAGAACTTTAGGGTTAATCCGTTTTATGACAGCTTTGCCAGGGATGGGGTATGTTCCTGGTCTAGCAAGGTAAGGAATTATCGTGGTCCGTTGTGTCCCTAGGGACACCAGGTGACGGCACAGTAGGGCAGCATCTGCCCTGCTCTTTTGACACGAATACAAATGTTGATACTGACCCAGTAACTAACACTCATCCTCATTCGCAGACCCCAGGGCTAATGCCAGCAGCTGACACTGAACACTTACTATGGGGCTGGCATCGTGCTAAGCATTTGTCATGCATTAGGCATTTCAGCCTGGCAGTATTCTTCTAAGATAAATAATACAGTTGTGCATGGCTTAACAATGAGAATAGGTTCAGAGAAATCTGGCATTAAGCCATTTCGTCATTGTGTGAACGTCAGAGTGGACTTACACAAACCCAGATGGTATAGCAGACTGCATACCTGGGCTGTATGGTGCTAATCTATGGGACTCCCATCGTCTGTGCAGTCCGTCATTGACCAAAGTGTCATTATGTGGTGTATGACTGTATTGTTATCTCCACTTTACACACGAGGAAACTGAGGCCCAGAGAGGCTAAGGACCTACCCGAGGTCACCCTGCAGGAAGGGGCAGGGCCAGAGTCAACCCCCACACCTGGCTAGAGGCCTCACACCTGAAGCCAGGCGTTCACACCTGTGGCCAGGAGTATCACAGAGAGCGGCATATTCCGTGTACTTCAGGGAGCCCTCGGCCTATGAGACACTCTGTGAAGGAAAGAGTTTCCTGGTCAAGTAAGTTCAGGGGCATGCTCCTGCTCTCCTGGCAGTAGAGAGGACGGACCCTGGAGTCACACAGACTCAGTCCTAACCCCCGTCTCAGCTGTGTACTGTTGGCCACTTCCTGAGTTCCCAGAGCCTTAGTTTCCTCATCTATGAGATGGGGGTAATGGCCCTCCTGCCTCACCATGTTGTTTTGAGGGTTCGAGAGGATAACAGACATGAGGGCTTAGAACACTGTGTGACATCTAAGACCTCAGTACACGTTCAGTTTTTTAGACTATCATTTGCTTTTGAAGACAGCCAGAGCATGTTGAAGGAGATATGGAGAATTCCTGCACCAAAGATATTATTCCACCTTTTTTTTTTTTTTTTTTTGGTGAGGAAGATCAGCCCTGAGCTAACATCTGATGCCAATCCTCCTCTTTTTTTGCTGAGCAAGACTGGCCCTGGGCTAACATCCGTGCCCATCTTCCTCTACTTTATATGGGACGCCACCACAGCATGGCTTCACAAGTTGTGCGTCGGTCCATGCCCGGGAGCCGAACCTGCGAACCCCGGGCTGCTGAAGTGGAGCACGTGCACTTAACTGCTGAGCCACTGGGCTGGCCCCGTATTCCACCTTTTTAACACAGACTTTCCCAAATTAATTTTTCTGCGGAACCCTTATGGTGCATGGTAACTGGTTATAGTTCATGGAGCTATTGCCTGGAACACACATTGGGAACCACTTCCTTCACTTAGCTATCCGGTGATGGATGAAGGGACAGAACTCCCAGGCCAGGAGCATTTGTTCATTTTAACACCCATTGCTGGGCAGGCTCTGTGGGGGGCACTGGGATTATCCGGTGGTCTGGACAGCATCTTCCTCACCCTGGAGGCCCTCACAGTCTGGGTGGAGATTGCAGGACAGTGTGTGGTGACAGGCAAGACAGAAATGACCAGGGGCCTGTGGGACCAGCATGGGCTGGGCCTGGGTACAAGGGCAGGAAGACTCTGGGGTCTATGTCTGGAGGGAGGGATGCTCGGCCCAGCAGACGATGAGTCAGGGATGTTTCAGGCAAGGGGACCAGCATCTGGAAAGGCCCAGAAGAATGAATGACCAGGAGGGTTTGGAGCTGGCAGCCTGCTCAGTACCCCTGGGGCCCGCACACCTGGGAGCAGCAGAACCGAGGCTGGACAGAGGTGGCTGCTGACATTTGCTGAGCCCTCGGCTGTGCCAGCCGCAGGGCTGTGACCTCGTGTGGTCGTGGCAGTGCGTGGGGCTTGAGTTCCTGGATAAGGAGCTTTGAGTCTATCCCAGGGCAGTGAGGAGCCACCTTGAAGGCCTGGGGGCAGGAGGGTGACACCCACATAGGTGGAGAAGCGCTAAGTGGTCAGCAGGTTGATGGACAGAGCAGGCCCGGGGGTCTAGACAGCAGCGAGGGAGATAGGGCAGGGTAGGTGGGCCTGCTGTGGAGGAGGTCAGAGCCGGCAGCCGAGTGCGGGGTACAGGTGGGCCATCGGGGAACAGACCCAGGCTAATAGCTAAGGGGTGAGAGCCTGGTGCAGAGGGGCTCACCTCCTGGGGATAAGTGAAGGGACTAGAGCTCACTTGACACGGGTCCCTGGGGTGCAGGTGTCACCGTGACCCTGGGGCGGGAGCTCCACCATGTCACTCACTCCCCTCCCCACTCTGCCAGGCCGGCCTTCCGGGAGCTGCCGTCCTGTATCGCTGGTGGGGTTGCTGAAACAACTCGTGGCAGGTCACGGGGACTGAGTGTGTTTTCTCTCCTGCCACCCCAGCCTCTGGCCGACGGTTCCTCCAACCCGTCTCTGCACGAAAACTTGAAGCAGGCTGTTCTGCCGAACCAGCCGGTGGAGGCTTCGCCTTCCAGTAGCCTGGGGAGCCTGAGCCAGGCCGAGAAGGACGACTGCAGCTCCTCGTCCAGCATCCACTCGGCCACCAGCGATGACAGGTTCCTCAGCCGCACCTTCCTCCGGGCAAACAGCTTCCCCGAGGCGCTGACCTGTGAGAGGTAAGGAGGGGCTGGATGGAGGCTGCAGACCAATGGGCCATATCATTGTCAGAGGAGGAAACAGAGGCCCAGAGAGGTTAAGTGACCCAGCCACGGACACACAGGGACCCAGTGTCACAGCTGGAGCCCGGTAACCCTCTGTCACTTACCGTGTGGTTAGGGCCAGCGTGGGGTGATGGAGGCAGGCCTGAGCCCTGGGGAGAGACCTCAGGGGGCCTCGTTTAATCAGGGACGTGCCCCGTGCATTGCACAGCAGCAGCTAGCACTGATTGAGTGCCTTCTGTGTACGGAGCAGAGTGCTAAGCACATCGCAGGGATTAATTATCACATGACCACAAGGATCAGGTCTGTCTTCTTCGTACTGTGTCCCTACTGCCCAGTGGGAGCCTGGGACAGGCTCAGTGATGAATAGATATTAATCAGGTGGAGAATTAATTCCTCCTAACAACCCTCTGAGGTAAGTGCTATTATTACTCCCGTTTATGAAGAATAAAGCGAGACACAGAGAGGCTGATGACTTGCCCAGTGTCACACAGCATGTGAGTGATGGAGCTGGGTTTGACCCCACCACCGTATCTCTAGAGCCCACTCTCTAAATCACCCAACTACCCAGCCCAGAGCAGGGCTCAGCACATGGTAGGTGCTCAAGGAACTCAGTCTGCGGGTTCGAGCGTCTGTCCTCAGGCCTCTGTCTGCTCTGAAGGTCGCTGGGTCCGAGGGGCCCTGGGTGAGGTGAGCCAGGCACGGCCCCGGCTCAGGGCTGTGGAAAGAGTGGCCCCGACCCCAGAGCTTGGTGTTGACCCTGAAGGTGGCCCAGGGAAGGAGGGACGTCGTCGGACAGGAGCTTGCTTGGCTCCGCCCACCTGGCTGGGAGGAGCTGTGTGAGCTTCTGGACTTAGCAGACTCGGAACAGTGCGGGTGGGAGTGTAGTCGTTTAAAACGCATTTGCCTTTGTGGGAGAAAAGGTCATGGGCCTTTGTGTACACCCCACCACCTATCTGCCCTGTGACCGTGTTACCCTTGATGTCTGAATCAGTTTCCTCATCTGTAAAATGGGCACGAGAATGTCTCCGTGATGGCCCTGAGGAAAGGTGACATGTGACGCTACACGTGAAAATGCCCAGGGAGGACGTGTTATTTTCTCTCACTTATGTTTTGTCTTTGATGTCCCAATGACTGTTCCCTTCTGATCAGATGCGAGTTTCACATAGCACCTTTGATTCCTTCCTATAAATCTTTGGTGGTCATTAGGGATCTCTGCAGGCTGCAGAATTTAAAATCTGGGGCCAGGATGCACCCTGGCTTGTCCTGAGCAGGGACGTGCCAATACTCAGTGACCTCTCCCCACTTGAAGTCCTCTCAAAGCCTCTTCTGTTTCTCTCGACTTGCAGTGTGGACCTTGACTTGTGTATCTACAGCCTCCACCTGAGAGATCTGCTGCGTGTGGACGCGTTGCTGAGGCAGGAGGAGCACGTGGTAGGTGGGGAGGCGTGCCCCCTCCCTTTGCTGGGGCAGGGACGGGGAGACAAGGCTCTCTGTGCGCTGAGTCCCGGAGACCCTCGGGAAATGGGTCTCGGTGACAGCGGAGGGGAGAGCAGCATTGGGCGTCTGACCACAGAATGGAAAAGCGGTTCGTGGCTGCGGATGGGGCACAGGCTTTGCTGTAACCAGAGCTGAGGGGCTGAGCAGAAAGAGGAGGCCTATGGTCGGAGCACACCTCCTGATGGAGACAGAGGTCGAAGATGTTTAGAAGAGCAGTGTTTTTAAAGGAATGATGATATGAGAATAATACAGTCATGCCTCGCTTAACGACGAGGATACGTTCTGAGAAATGCGTCGTTAGGCAATTTCATTGTTGTGCAAATTTCATAGAGTGTGACCTACACAAACCCAAATGGTAGAGCCTACTACACACCTGGGCTATATGGTACTAAACTTATGGGACCACCATCGTGTATGCAGTCTGTCATTGACGAACCGTCGTTAGGCGGTGCTAACTTAATTGAGTGCTTACTATGTCCTAGGCCTGGGGTGTTATACAGGTGGTTCCCTTTAAACCTCACCACAACCTGGAGAGGTGGGTGCCATTATTATCTCCATTTTACAGATGAGGAAACTGAGGCACAGAGAGGAGGACTCACCCAAAGTCATAAGGCTCTAAGTTGGAGCCAAGATGGGACGTGTAGTGCCTTTTTATAGGCATGCATTCTCTGAGTGAATGGAGGAGAACTCAGAGCCTTCCTGACATCAGGAAGACAAGACTGGTCTCCGCCAGATGCACATAGTCTCTGAGTGAATCCCACCACTGGACGGGAGCTGCGGGAAGTCAGAGAGATGAGGCCCCTGTAGCTACGGAGCCCCCCAGGGGTTAGCCGGGTGTCAAGGGCAGGGGGTTAGAGAGAGGAGTTGTTTCTCCCTGAGGCATGTTCTCTGAATTATTGAAGGAGGCCTGAGACCTGCAGAGAGGAGGGAGAGAGAGGCCTGCTGGAAAGAGAAAGGGAGATGGGTAGATGGAGAGAGTGACAGAGGTAAAAGCAGGGACACAGACAGATATGCCCACAAGGCGCTTCATTATGAACTGGAGAAATAAAAGAATATCACGGGGGATGCGGCAAAAAGAAAAGTGGGCCCCGTGTGAGCAGGATGGGCCTCCTCTCCAGGGGCCAGTATTTGCAGCCATAATCATACTAGGGTTCCAGAAATAGAGCCTGTTCCCGCAGCCTCACCACATCCCACCCCGGCAGAGGCCCGTGGACACGAGGCACCGGCCCGCCTGCAGCAGCAGGCTGCTGTCACTCGGCCACACCTGGGCCACCTGGGCAGGTGGCCCTGGCGATTTTCCCAAAGGCTCTGTGCTCCCTGGAGGGTCGATTATTTCTGTGCTCAGAGCCCCACCCAGCTGATGGGTGACGTGGTCCTGGCTGACCTCGCCCCCGGGGTACCCAGTGAATGCCCACAGGAAAGCAGCCTGCTCTCTGGAGAGGGTATCCACGTCACTCGTCTGCCCACTTCTCTGTGGGCAGCCTTCCCCCGTGCCAGGCGCAGTGCCAGGACGGCCCCTGCCTCTGTGGAGCCCACTGTCCAGGGGGAGATGGCGGTAAACAGACAGCACAAATGCCCAGTGGCACACAGTATGACAGAGCAAACAAGAGAGTACTGTGAGAGTGTGCAAGAGGGGATCTGGGTGAGTGTGGGGACGGTGCCTTCCCTGCAGGGAGACACGGAGCTGGAACCTGGGGAAGTTCCAGAAACACCAGATGAGGAGTCAGAGACTTGGGTTCTAGTCTATCCTCTGACACTCATGAGCTGTGCAACGTTGGGTAAGTCCCTTCCCCTCTCTGGGCCACTTTAGGAAAGGTGTAAAGATAATGTCCTTCCAGCTCTTACCCCATGGACTTACTAGGAAGTCAAGTTGTCCCCCTTTGAAGGGTCTCTGTGGGCACCTCTCCAGGCTCTGTGGGGGCTATATGACCAGCACCATCACAGCACCTTTCATTAAGCACTTATACTCTGCTAGGCTAAGTGCTTCAAATCTCTGATCTCGAGCCCTCACTGCTGTTTCACTTATGAGGAACCTGAGGCTCAGAAAGGTCGAGTCAGTTGCCCAAGACCACATGGCTGGTGAATGGCAGAGTCAGAACCCCAATGAGGTCTGTCTCTGCACAAGGTCTGTGTGTCCCCAGGGCCCAGCACAGTGCCCTGCATGTAGTAGGCGCTCAACAGAAATGTGTCCAGCTGACACTGACACCGCCCTGGGAGAGCTGCTCACCGGGTAAGGCCCTTCATTCACCGTGGGGCGTATCTTCGTCGTGTGCAGGACCTGTAGAAACGTGGCGAGTGGGAGGGGGCCGTGTTACACGAAGACCTCAAGTTTCGTTTCCTGGTAGAGATCTGTCATCACAGGTCAGAGTTCAGACCAGATGAGACCGTCATGCAGCCCAGAAGCTTGGAGCTCCCTGGGGGCACTTGAGGAGGAAGAAACTGTTGCTGGGCTTATCTGGGAGGTGGAGAAAAGCTGCACTTGTAACCCTTGAAAGCAGAATGGCGGAGATGAGAACGGGTTAGGGGATGTGCGTGTGGGGGGTGGCTAATAAAGGGGAGCACTAGAACTAGGGCATGCCTCTTGGTGCTGAAACATTCTCTGTCTCAATTGTGGCAGTGGTAACGTGACTATATAGATGGGGTAAAATTGTGTAGAACCACACACACACACACAAATGAGTGCGTGTAAGCATGGGTGAAACGAGTTAGGTCTGTAGTTAAGTCCAGTGGAACAACGCCCGTGTCCGGGTTGATACTGTACTTCAGTGATGTAGATGTCAGCCCCGGGGTGAACCCACCGGACTCGACTGTTTCTGCACCTTTCTCTGCATCTATAATTATTCCAAAATAAAAAGTTTTTAAAATTGAAAGGAATGGGACAAGACCCATAAACATTACTGATTCAGTTTGGAGTCAAAAAGAAAACAGATTTGAGACTAACATCTTGAAAAAAGAATGTTCCCTCACGTGGCCTCAGACGTCAATGGGTAGAAAGCCAGGACAACATCTGTCTTCTTAGAGCTCATCAGCACTGGCGAGCAGAATGAAGGTTGGTGGAAAGAGTCTCGGGTTTGTCCCTCTGGGCTGTCCTTCCTGACATGAGGCCAGTTGTCCAGATTGCTCAGCAGAGAGTTCCTTATCTATAAAACGGGAAGAATGGACCAACCTTCTGTGTGCTGTGAAGATCAAGTGAGATAATACACATTAGCCTGGCACAGAAGAGTGTTTAACGAACCCTAAATCAAGGGTCAAAAACTGTGGCCCTTAGGGGCCGGCCTGGTGGTGTAGTAGTGGTTAAGTTTGAGTGCTCCGCTTCAGCGGCCTGGGTTTTGCAGGTTCGGATCTCGGGCGCAGACCTACACACCACTTATCAAGCCATGCTGTGGCGGGCGTCCCACATATAAAGTAGAGGAATATGGGCACGGATGTTAGCCCAGGGCCAATCTTCCTCACAAAAACAAACAAACAAAAAACTGTGGCCTTTGGGCCAATGCGGCCACGCCTGTTCTTCTACATGTCACCCGTGGCTGCCTTCATGCTGTAACCGCAGAATTCAGTAGCTGCAAAAGCGATAGTATGGTCTGCAAACTCAAAAATATTTACTAGGTGCCTCTTTACAGAAAAATATTTGCTAACCCCTGCGTTAAAAAATGCCTTACCACCCAGATATGCCTAACTGACCTTTCACACGGGGGCAAGAGCAATGCAGTGGAGGAATGATGAACGTTTCAATAAATGGTTCTAGAGCAATTGGACACCCACAAACAAACAAAAATGAACCTCAAGCTAAACCTCACGCCTCGTATAAAAATTAGCTCAAAATGGATCACGTGCTTAAATGGGAAATATAAAATTATAAGTCTTTTAGGAAAAAACACAGGAGCAAATCTTTGGGTTCTAGACCCAGGCAAAGAGTTCTTGGAATTAGCACCAAAAGTGTGACCCATAAAAGGGAAAACTAATAAATTGAACCTCATCAAAATTAAAAACTTCTGCTGTATAAAAGACCCTATTAAGAGGACGAAAAGAAAGAGAGAAGATATTTGCAAATTACATGTCAACAGAGGACTTCTACCTAGAATATGTAAAGAACTCTCAAACCTCAATAGAAATAAGTAAACAATCGAATTAGAAAATGGGCAAAAGACATAACAGATATTTCACCAAAAAGGATATACAGTTGGCAAGTAACCACACACACACAGCGCACATAAAAAGATGTTCACCATCGTTAAGCCATTAGAGAAATGCAAATTAAACCCACAAAGAAATATGACTACACATCTATCAGATGACTAAAATGAAAAACAGTGACAACCCCAGATGCTGGTGAGGATGTGGAGAAACTGGATCACTCAGACATTGCTGGTGGGAATGTAAACGCCACACTGAAAAACAGTTTCTCCTAAAACTAAACATGCAGTTACCAGAAGACCCAGCAATTGCACTCTTGTGCATTTATCTCAGAGAAACAGATGTTCACACAAAGATCTGTACATGAATGATCGAAGCAGCTTTATTCATAACAGCCCCAAACTGGAAATATTCAGATGTCCTACAATAGGTGGTTGGTTAAACAAACTGTGGAGACAGCACCCTTGGACTTTCCTGGGTGTCCCCGCCTATGGGAGGATCCTTCTTGGTTTAGGGGACGTCTCCATCCATCGAGACAGGAGGCTGGAGCGGATGACTTCACACATCCCGGTTCCGTGCAACTGTCCCTCTGATTCTTTCCACAAAGGAGCAGCCCTCTTTGCCTTTTATATTTTCTTGACTTATATGGAAATGGGGACACGCAGGGGCTGGCACAGAGTAGGCCTCTAATGAATGTTTGTTGAATAAATGAATGCAGAAGAAACGAAGCATTTTTCTTTAGAAACTTCTGAAAATGCAATCTGTTATAGGCCGTTGTGAGGATTTATAATCTGAGTTCCTTTTCTATAGCAAAAAGTAGGTGTGTGTGTGTGGAGAGAGAGCGAGAAAAGGGTTATGATGAGGAGGAGGAGGGGGATGGAGGGAGATATCATTGTTTAAACCTTTGTCTTCCTTATATTTCCTTTTCTGGCAATAGATGTTTATTCAGATTTTAAAAATGTGCCTCCTTGACCTTCTTCCTAAAAAGAAGTCTGATGATGAATTATACCAGAAGATTCTTTCAAAACAAGAAAATGTAAGTCTTCAACCTATAGTTCAAGGTAACAAAAATGGTTTATTACAATATATAAAACATAATATGAAACTTTCATAATATAAAACTATTTTTGCTTTCATGTATAAAAATAGTTTATTACAGTATACCCTTTTTAACAATATAATTATGTATAAAAGTATGTGTACATTTATATGGTGACTGACAATGTACAACAAAAATTCACAATAAAGAAAAAAATAAAATAAATAAAAATTTAAAATAAAAAAGTATGTATACAAATATAAAAATGGTAATGCATATTATTAAAATTTGGAAAAATATTGGGAGCAGAAAAAAGAGAAAAATGTTGGTCATATCCACTGTTCAAAGAGAAACTGCTGTTAATGTTATTTTCTGCCCAAGTTTGGGGTATTTGTAAATATGTAATGTGTTTATTGGCTATAACTGTTTATGCTAGTTTACATTCTTCTCTCCTCAGTCTTTATACAAAGTTTATATTGTTTTTTGTGCAGCAAACGAGTCAGGGCTTGGAGTCAGACTGGTGGAGGTTGATATCCTGGTTCTAGCTGTCACAAATTCTCGGAATCCCTTCCTTTGTGCAATGGGATAATTCCTGTCTCACGGGTTTACAGAAAAGATAAGAGAAATGTGTATGAAGCACCTAGCAAAGTAACAGTTAGACCCTGAATGCATGATAGCTGCCATCATCCTCATTACCACCACAATAGTCATCTTCATCTTCATCATCATCATCAATATCATTGCCATCATTATCATGTTATTACCGCCACCATCACCACCTCTACTACTGTCATCATCATCTTCATCGTCATCACTGTTGCCATTATCACCATTATCTTTATCATTGTCGTCGTCATTCTTGTTATTGCCATCACCACCGTTATCATTATCTTCATCATCATCCTCATCTTCCTCATTCCCACCACCATCACCATCGTCTTCTTCCTTACCACCACCACCATCATCTTGCACCATCATTGTCATTGTTGTCATCATTCTCGGTACTACCCTCACCACTATCATCTTCATCCTAGACATCATCATCATCCTTATTCCCACCACTGTGACATTGGGGGATTGGGAGGGCATGTTTCTTCTCTACTCTCCGGATTCCATGGGGGAGGATTAATCACTGCATCCCAGGGAGAAGGCGGTACGTCATCATCTTCATCATTATCATGGTCATCATCCTCAGTACTACCACTACCATGGTCATCATCATCAGCCAATGCACACGGTGCTTTTCACACATTATTTTACTTAATCTTCACCACAGCCCTGTGAGTAGCCACTATTATTTTTGTTTACAGCTGAGGAAACTGAGGCTCACTGAGTTTAAATGACTCTCCAATGATAAAAATAATGATAATGGTGGTGGTACTCATAGTATACTAGTAACAGTGCAGCAATATCGTATGGAAAGAATACGAGCTTTGCAGTCTGCAGACCTGGGATCAAATTCCACCTCCACCACTTGCCAATCATCTTAATTATAATAGTGGCTACTGTTGTCTGGCCAAGTGCTTTAAATGTGTACTTTTATTTAATGCTCAGCATAGCCTCAAAACTTCCAGAAGAGGACCAGTGCTCAGAAATGGCAGCTGCTCTTTTGCGAGAAGCAGCATGGTGCCTGCAGTGGGAGAGTGGCTGGCTGGAGTCAGGGGGCCTGAGGGACAAGCCCAGCACGCACTTGCTACTGGGAGACTCAGGACAAAGTGGGCTTCCCATATATCAGGCTCCTCATCTGGAAAAGAACCAGCATTTCTCACTGGTCGAGATGCTGTGAGGATTAGCAGTCACATACGGCCTCGGCTTGGATACTCAGTAGCAGTTTTTCTCACTGTTATTTTTCCTGATGAGCCTGGACCCACACCAGCATTGATTATACATCACTGAACCCAGCTCTGGAGAAAACAGAACTGCCTCCCACACTCCATGTTGGGGTTTCACAGACTCCATACAGAGGGCTTCCCTTTTCCTTTCTGAGTTCTGAATGAATTAAGAAACAAGGAGTCAGGGAGGCAGATACGGAAATGTCAGCTTCATCACTGAGTGAGGCCAGCCTGGAGGAGGTGGCTCAGATGCGAGCAGTCATGGCTTCCTGATACTGAATCCCAGGATATGCTACACTGCCTGCCTCCTGGGCCACCTCAGGCCTCCCCACATGGAAGCAGGACATCTGGGCCACACCAGAGCAGTGGCCTCCCCTGAGTGGTCCATCCCGAAGAAGAAGAGGCTGGGCAGGCTATGCTACTGTGCTCACTTCCTTCTTTTGAATCTGCCAATCAAATAGGGATCACTTCCTCCCTGGGGTGCAGTGAGTCATCATTCCCCATGGAAACCAGAAGAGTGGGGAAGAAGCATTCCCTCCCAATCTCCAGGATGTCATGACATTTTCCAGGACATCGTAAGGATTGAAAGATGCTATTTCATTGTTTTTTAAGTATGGTCTATTTTTTGCAGGGCAAGGGGGGATATAGAAAATAATCCATTGTTCTTGAGGCTCTGTGTTTAATGAGAGATAGATTTTTATCATCAAACCTTAAGTAGGATAACATCCAGAGAATTTAATTACAGCTAAGAAATATTTCATGATAATGTGGTAAAAAATAAAAGCATTTCTTTTTCTAGAATTTAAGATACATTAGATTTTTTCTTTGCTTATTTTCTTTCTTTTGTTTTTTTTTCAGGACTTGGAGGAATTAGAAAAGGGACTTCAGGTCAAACTGTCAAACACGGAAATGCTGGGCACTGGTGATTCTGAATACATCACCCTGGCAGATGTGGAGAAGAAGGAGAGAGAATACTCTGAGCAGCTAATAGATAATGTATGTGATGGGTTTTCTTTCCCATATGAAAACCTTGGTTTCTGGGGCAGTTGAATTGTCGAGATTAAAGAGATGGTCCCTAGAAGCTTGTTTAATTCTTGAATTCCCTGTCGTGTTCTGCCCCAGAGCCAAGGATCCAGTTTCTGAAGTTAAGTGATAGGAAAGGTATAATTAAGGGGCCGAGATTTACAGAGGGAGTCTTTTAAAAATTTTTAAATGAATTCCTCTTGTTTAAATTTTAGATTGATCTTTAATCATTCAAAGCAAAGATTGCTCTAACTCTCTGTCATTACCGCCCTGTGGGTTAGAGCAGATGCTAGCTGCTAACTTCCCAAACTCTAGGCATCACTCATAAAAGCATGTTTTAAATTCCAGAGAGGATGGCTTCCCTTGAAGCCTTTTCCTTGTTGCTTTTGGGTTCCACTACCCCCGTTTGTTTATTATTTATTATTAAACAAACATTTCCTTGTCACCCCAGCGTTGTACTGGACACTGGGGATTCAGAATGAACTTAGACCTGCCCTACTGGAGAGATGCTCAGGCCAATCTGGTGGGGGGCTTTGTGGGTTACAAGTGTTGTGAGGCACAGTGGAGAGAGGAATTCATTTTACCCCAGGGTTAGTTAGGCAAGTCTTTGTGGAAGAAAGGACCATCAGGAGGCTTTTTGAGAGAAGTGCGATGGATGCTGGCCAGTGGGCAGGCAGAGAAGGGAGCCAGGGAGAAGCAGGCAGAGCACGAGAAAGCCAGAGATCTTCCCTGAGGGTTTTCATCTCATACCAAGGAGGTGGGAGTCACTGAAGGTTTGCAGCAGAGGGTTGCTTGCTCCCGTTTCTGTCTTAGAAGGACCTTCAGCTGCCGCGTGGAGGACAGTTAAGAGCTCTTGGGTTAGTTCAGCAGGAAGTTCATGAAGGCAATTGCAATAGGGATGGACAAGTAAGAAAATGTGAGAGAGCTACGAGGGTGGTACATAATGACGTGGTAGGGAGAGGTGTAGAGGTGCAGTCCTACAGAAACCAGGGCTCCAGAATGAGAAGCAAGTTGGAAGGGGACATGGCAAGTTCCGGCTTGACATCTTGAGTTGGAGATGCCTGGGGATGGAGAGCCTCCACTAAGCTCAGGTAGGAGGACGGGAGTGAGGATGTTCTTAGGATGCCATGGGTAAGGGAGGGTTCTCAGCCTCGATTCCTGTGGTCCACGGACTCCCCAAGGCAGTGGAACATCTTGTCCGTGTCTGCATATTTCAGGCAGAGGATTCATAGTTCTTGTAAGATTCTCTAAAGTGTTGGCGACCTCCGAAAATGGAGATGACTCTGGTCTAGGAGTGTGTGTGGGATGGGTAAAGAAAGGAGCCTTGATGGGATGAGCTGCTGACTAGAGGCAGATAAAGGGTTTGCTGAGCTGCAACAAGGCCCCAGAGATGAGAGACCAAACTTTGGAAGAGGTGCCAGTTCATACAGGTGTGCACTTTCCCCGGCGGTGCCCAGCCTCTGGGCAGGGGCTGGTCAGATTGACTCAGTTTTAGGTTGACATTTCTTTTCGCCTAGGAGTGGGCTAACAAGATCATCGTGGGCTTCTGGGCCACTAACCCTTGACCCCTCCCTTGCCCTGTCCAGCAAGAAGTGTTCATTTCAGCGTCTGAGAGACGGAGCCAAGATGGAGAAAATCATAGCAGGGGGTGTTCAATGGACCAGAACCAAATCTGCCTCTCCTTAGCTCTGTGACCTTTGACCAATGACCTGACTTGCTGAGCCTGTCCCTTGTCCTCCCAAATATAGATTTCTTCTAGAAATAAAATATGTGAAGCACAGAGCCTGGCATATAACCTGAGTGCATAAAGGAAAGATGTTAAGACTCCTGGTGTCATTGTTCTCACAATGACGCAAATTAAGCCTCTGACTTTCTGAGCTACTTGGTGATTCCCAGCTCTGCTCCTGATGAGATAGGGGAAAAGGAAAAAGATTTTAAAGCAAAATGTTTTCATGGTCAACATCATCTCTGCCATATCACTCTTTTGTACTTTTAGGATAATAACTAATATTTAAATGACCATTCATGCTTTTATTTTCAGGACATGTGTAATCCCTTTTAAAGATCGAGAAGCTGTAGGAGCACACACTGTCGTATTTCATGCACCCCCCCAGGCTGCAATCATGGCCTGTTTAAGAGTCTTTAAGCTGTTTAAGCTGGTGATCTCACTGTGCCTTCCCTTCTTATCAGCCGCGCATTAGTGTTTGCTGAAAAGCCGCCTTGAAACTGAATGGCACCTAAAAAAGGAACAAGGAGGAACCTCTGCGGAACGCGATTATTGCCGAGATAAACTTGCTCCGGATTGTAGAATTATTTAAAATCTCAGCCTGTGATAGGAATGAATTGTAATTCCCAAGCATGAACCATCCAGCTTTATCACTTTCTTAAATAAGTTTTCTCCCCCCATCTCTTGCATCTCATTCTCATTTCACAGATGGAAGCTTTCTGGAAACAGATGGAAAACATCCAGCACTTTCTTGTGGACCAATTTAAGTGTTCCAGCGCCAAAGCCCGACAGCTCGTGATGACTCTGACGGAAAGAATGATTGCTGCCGAGGGGCGCCTGCGTGATTCTCAGGATTTGCAGGCTCTGGTAATGCTGGGGGGCAGGAGGGAACCGGAGGATATTCAAGCTAGAGATGTGGAATCCGGGAGCTTGAAGTGCCACTAGACATCGAGTCGAACACCTTCTTGTTGTAGATGGGGGTATAGAGCGCAGAGAAAAGCAGTGAATCCATCCAATTGTCCATCCATCTGTCCATCCGTCCATGTGTCCATCCATTCCATGAGTGGAGGTGCTGGCCAGCTCCGTGTCACTGCAGCACAGCGCTGGTTCTCAATCCTGGCTGCACATTGAAAGTATCTGAGGAGATTTAAAAAGTACTGATGCTTGGTCCCAGATGGGTCCCCACCCCAGAGGTTCTGACCGATTCAATTTGGGGTCTTCAGAGCTCCAGGTGACCAGGGTGAGCAGTCAAGTTGACGCCTGCTGGTGTGGACGGAGCTTTGGTGTGCTCTCCTGACTGCCCCATGAATCGCCTGGGGAGCTTTCAAAAATGTCTGTGCCCGGCTTCATGCCCAGAGATCCAAGCTGATGGGTCCAAAGTGGAGGCCCTGGCATCGCTAGTTTTAAAACTCCCCAAACGATTCTGATGTATAGCTGGGGATGCAAATCACTGATATAGAGGAATCTGCAAATCTGACTTTGAATCTAGGCTCAGCCACTTGAAGCTGTGTGATCCTCACCTGGGTGTGTAACCCCTCTGAGCTTCAATTACTCTGTTTATAAAGAGCAATCCTAGGAGTTGCCACAGACAAGGCCCAGGGAAATGCCTGGTGACCCGTAACACCCTAGTCGCTGTGGAGTTCTCTGTAGTCTTGTCCATGGGGCTTTGGTCTTGTCCTGCTGTGTGCAAGCCCCAGGGCACTATGCACCCATTTCCCCTTCCTCTTGGGAACTTGGGAACTCATGAATTACATTCCAGACCTGTGTACCCGCCCAGGTTACACCTGACTTAGAAACCAAACCGCCGGCAGCCACCCTGCCCTCAGCTCAGAGACTCAGCTCCTCGGACCCCTGGAGCAGGCCCTGCAGACCTGGAGCGGGTCCCTGCCGCTTCTCCACAAACCGCTATGCTCCAGAGTGTGGTCTTCTGACGAGCAGCATCAGCATCACCTGAGAGCTGGTTAGACATGCAGAACCTCCCCACCCCCTAATGAGGATCTGCATTTTAACAAACTCCCCAGGTGCACACAGCTGTCTGAGAACTTTACATGTTTTTGCTCATCACGTACACGCATAGTCTCCTTTTCCTCCTGGGCCCTGCTAGAAGACAGGCACGGCAGATATTTTATTCACAATGAGCAGAAGAGCTGGCTAAGCGGCTCGCCTGGGATCTGGATCCTTCCTGTCTATTGGCATCGCTGAGCCTGGGCCCTCAAGCTTCCTGGTTTGCCATGCTAAGCCCCTTTGAATTAGATTTTAATTTGATAAGACTGGCGATATTAATGCATTAAAGAAGAAAGACTTTCTTCCTTTTATTCCATTTTTTTTCTCTTGATTTAATTATTTTCTGTCAGCAGGATATTGATGCAGAAAAAAAAATGTATCCTTAGCTGACTTTGGCCCAAGTATTAACCAGTAACTTCCAAATAGGAAGAGGGAAAGAATCATCCAGATTATCACTATGCCCTTTTTTTACCCAACATTTGATGGGCACCTACATTCTGTTATAGAATGTTTGCCACATTCTGTTATAGAAACAGTGTTGCAGACCTGAGCTAAAAACCTTGGCTCATACCACAGACCTGCCTGTTGCTAGCTGTGTGACCTTGGGCAGGTTACTGAACCTCTCTGTGACTCGGTTTCTTCATCTGTAAAGTGGGGATCAGAATCGCACCTGCTCTGAGGGTGTGAGAGAGTGGACAGTACCTTAGGCCGTTAGAGCAGAGCCTGGCACGTGGGAAGTGCTCAGTATGTGTTAGTGTTAGACTCCTGCGGGCCCCAGGTCAGCGGACAAAGTGGACATAAACAGATCATCAGAATGATGCGAGGGAAGGGCTACAATCTACGCACAGAAGAGGGTGGATGACCTCTGCCTGCATCCTATGTACCAAAAAAAAAAAAAAAATGTAGCTCTGTATCTCGGAATATGTTGATGATGAACTCCTGAAGAGTTTAAGTTCTCGGTCTGGTGTCTGAGCACCTTGGCTGGGGCGTTGGTCCTGGAACGCTCACGTGGCATCCCTGACTGTCAGAGCTGGAAGAGCCTGGAAAGGGCCCTAGAGGTCATCAGAGCGCATCTCTTAGGACATTGGAGAAGAGCCGTGTGGGGACTTGCTGCATATAATTATGATAACAGCTCACATTCATGACCACTTGCTGTTTTCTGGCCACTGTTTTAAATGCTTTATATATTTTAACTTATTTAATCCTCCCAGCGGCTCTGTAAGGTAGGGGTCAGGTGAGGACACAGTGCCAAGGACGTGCCCCTCTGAGGGTGGGCCGAGTTTGAGCCCAGGCACGTTTGAGGACACTGCCACACTCCCAGAGCAAGCGGTGGCCCCTCGCCTTCCTCCCATATACCCCTTTGCTCCTGTAGCCTTCCATCTGATGCCCCTCTGCTCGGCTCACCTCTCTCCACTCCTGTCTCTCTTGGAATATAAATCGAGAGGTTGCGCTGTGACTACTGAGCTGCGGAGGCCTCGCCGTGTTGCATCAGAGGGGGCTGCAGTGGACGGTGGGCACCCCTCTCCCCCAGGCCATCCTGCCGGGCCCCTGGCGGAGCAGAGCCTTCCCGCGCCCACACCGGACACTTAGCGGTTATCCTCTTGCGCCCTCTAGCGGTCAGGACCTGACTGCTGACAGGTTTGTTTAATTGGACGAGAGGAAGGTTTAAGACCGCTGTCCCTGGGGCTAGTTATGTGGCCTTCCGGAATAAACCTCAATGTTCTTGTGCGTAACTGGGGGATCGTTATCCTTGCCCCGTTCACACGATGTTACAACACAGGCCAGTGCAGCTCAGCAAACCATGAGACCCAGGGCTGGCAGTGGGTGGCTCAGGCACGGCCCCTGTCTTCAGGGGCTTCAGTCCAGCGTGGGACTGTCCCTTGGGATTAGCTCCTTAAAGACAGAGGCACAGGAGCATGGTGCAGCGAGGAGGGGGCGGGGGGGTGGGAAAGATCGGGGAAGGCACCACACAGCCTGTAAGGATGAGTAGGACCTGGCCAGGCAGGGGGCTGAGAGGAGGAGGCAGGGAGGGTGTTCCAGGTGGGGGGCCCCGTGTGTGCAAAGGTGTATGGGACAGGGCTGGAGACTAAGCCAGGCCTGGTCCTGAAGGGCCTTGTGCACCAAGCCCAGGAGTTTAGACTTGGTTTGAGGGCAGTGACTGGAGGGTTTGGGCCAGGGGACAACAGAGCCATGTCTGCAGCTCTGAGAGGCCCCGTCTGACATGTGGGGGCAGAGCGTAGGCGGTCAGGTGGGAGGCTGGGAGAGCAGAGGGGGAGCTAACCGAGGCAAGACTGCAGGCCTGGTGGGTGGGACGGGGCTGAGGCTAGCTCAGGCCTCTGCCCTGCCAGGTGGCTGGTGGGGCCGTCCCTGGGGGAAGGCGTCCTCCCTCTGGGCCGCAGGGCTGCAGCTTTAGTGTGATCCCTGTGGACGCAGCAGCGCCCCTGCTCATTCCGGCGTCCTCACTGTCATTCAACAGCGGGCCTTGAGCATCTGCTCCCTGAGACATGAGGACTAGCGATGCAGACCTACAGGATCCGCCTCTGCCTCTGGTCAACATTTGCTGCCTGGAGGAGGCATCTTTTCCAAGAGTCTGTCCTAAGTGATGATAACGTGCTAGGACAGGGCAGGGCCTGTTCTAACGTTGACCCTGAGGGTCACTCTTAAAGTCAGTCTTACCTTGAAAATCTCTTAAATCCCCGGCACTCAGGTATCTGAGGCTCAGAAGCCGAGAACTCCTGGAGCCTTGACTGTTTTCCCTTGTGTTTCTCTTCCCGGGCTGTTGGGGCCAGAGGCCCGATTAGACTGGGGAGGGATGGCTATAGGAAAGGAGGATTTTCCCCTTGGATCATATGCATATATTGGATTCCTTCCCGGAAGAGCGTCTGGGGAGCACTCACTGTGTGCTGAGCGCTCTCCATGTGTCGCCTACTGTCAGCCTCACCACGTCCCACGAGGGCCGACTTTGTCCCCATCTGAGGAGCAGACACAGGAGGCTCGGAAGGAGAGCTGCTTCGTCCGTGCTCTGCTTGCAGGGAGGCGGGGGCCCCAGGATGGGGCCCTTTGTGTTAACAGAGCCTCGTGGCCGAGTGCTGACCCTGGATGTCCCAGCCCGCTGTCCTATGTGTTTCTCTTCTCAGGACGCCCTGGAGAGAACAATGGGCCGGGCGCACATGGCAAAGATGATCGAGTCCCTGAAGCTGCAAATCCAGGAGGAGACCAAATGCCGACTGGCGGCCATCTCCCGCGGCCTGGAGCTGCCGGCCGCCGAGGGGAGGCTGTCGGGGCGGCAGAAGGAGGAGCTGCTGACGCAGCAGCACAAGGCCTTCTGGGGGGAGGCCGAGCGCTTCAGCAGGGGTGAGCAAGTGAGGCCGTGGTGCCCTGGTCTGGGGCGCCGTGCTTCTGGGGTCCCCTGTGCTGCAGGTGTGGGGGCCAGGGTGGGGGGCGGCACTTGCCGTGTCAGGAGACGTGGAGCAGTGCCCATGGGACCAGTACAGGCGGAGGTCCCAGTTCTGCACTCGGAGACCGGTCGCTTAACTTCTCTGCACCTCGCTTGCCTCTCTGTACAGCAGAGTTAATCAGAGCTGCCCTGAGGTCAGGGATCGCCTGCTCCATTTAGTCCTGTGACTCAGGCTGGGGGCCCCCAGGGTCCTGTAGCAGAGCCACCCAGAACAGGCAGAGGGCATAGGAGGGTGGAGATGCCCAGGAGTGACACAGGCCTCCCAGCTGCAGCCCGCAGCCCCGCACGAGGCACCGGGCCCTGCTCGGCGGCAGGGTGGGCGAGGGCGGGCAGTGGTCGAGCGCGTGGGGCAGGAGAGGGAGCCTGGAGGGCTCGTCAGTGTGATCCAGGGCTGCACGTGCGCCTGGGGCCTGCGTGGAAGGAGAGTCGAGGCCTCCCCGTGTGTCAGGCGGGACGCCTATAGGGCATGCAATCCGTGTGCCTAACAAGTTCCCTAGCAGGTTCTGATGCCCAGACAGGTCTGGACACTGTAGGACCGGGGAGTTGGCTTGGGCGGCCATGACAAGATACCACAGACTGGGGCCTTGAACAACACACATTTGTTTCTCACAGCTCTGGAGGCTGGAAGTCCAAGGTCACACTGTGCCAGCCGATTGGGTTCCTGGTGAGGGCCCCCTTCCTGGCCTGCAGACGGCCGCCTTCTCACTGTGTCCTCACGTGGCAGAGAGCCAGCTTTCTCGAATCTCTTCCTCTTCTTATCAAGCACTAGCCCTCTGGGATTAGGGCCTCACCCTTGTGACCTCATTTAACTTAATGACCTCCCTCTAGGCCCGGTCTCCAAATGCAGTCACTTGGGGTCAGGGCTTCAGCATATGAATTTGGGGGGACAGTTCAGTCCATAGCACCAGGTTTCCATTGTGGCCAGTGACCTGGTCCTCCGCAGACGCTCACCCTCTGCCATGCCTGCCCCACTGCCCTTTGGAGATGGGTCAGCAGGCAGGCACTCGGTACTGGGACCTCAGGACTCCAACCCAGCCATTCTTTGTGTCACTTAGCATCTCAGCTTCTGTGACCACGTGGAAGCCTGCTGTTGGCTGGAACTCCGGACCATGTAGAATCTGAATGCATCTGGCCTTGGGGGTCATCGCACACGGTGGCCTGGGCTTTACCTGCGGGAAGAGGCCCCAGCAGCAGAGAGTGGCAGGGATGGGGTGGCGAAGCAGCCCCCATGGGTCGGGATCTGTTGAACTTGGACAAGACAGGGGAGGCGAGGAGATGGTCGGGGTGGAGGGATGACCCTCGGCAAAGAGAGGACTTGGTGTCTCCTGGACATCTGGCCACACTCTCCTCTTTGGTGCCAGAGGCTAAACGGAGTTTTAGATCAAACCCAAGGAAATGTGCTAAGTATACTCTCATCTAAGTGTAGAGGAGGGTATAACATGTGTGTGTGTGTGAGAGAGAGAGAGACGCTGGAACAAACATCTGCAAGGACTGCAGACCCTTTGTGACCTGGCTGTCACTTAACTTCTCCAGCCTCTTCACTCAACATCTCCCCCAAAACCCGAGTGAAAAGGATCTGGCTAACTTCTCCATTGTCTCCGCTCCCAGGAGGGCCGCTACCCACCCTCCTCCTCATCCCCACCACCCCGTCCCTCATGTAGGACGTAATTCATTCTCCCTCCACTTTTATAGTCCTCCCTGGACTGTGAGCAAACTGAGAGGAGGGCTGGGTCCTGGTCCCCTGTAGACCCTGGTGCCCGGGGCTGTGCCTGGCACGCTGCTGGGGCCGAGTGACCTGCTGGGGCGAGGGATTGTTTTAGAGCCCAGCCCTTCTCGCCCTCGGTTCCCCTTCCCCAGCACACAGAGGACCTTGCCCGTGGGTTCGCCCTCCTTCCTGCAGCTCGGGGCCCTCTCCTGGTCTGCTGATCTGAGAACTCAACCTCGAGGTTTTCTCATCTCAACACTGTCTCCCTGCAGACTCAGCCTCTTCATCCTCGTGTCCCGCCTGTCCCTCCCTGTGCCACCTGTGCCTCCCTCACACCCTTTTCCCCAGGAGAACGCCTCTTGTTTGTCTCCTGCTCAGGCTGGCAAGTCCTCTGCACAGCAGCTAAATAAAGCCTCTTGTGGCGTCCTGAGCCCTGGGCCCAAGGGGAAGTGGGGGTCCCTCCAAATAATGAGGGGCCTTGGGCTTTAAGGGACCAGGGCCTCCTAACGCCAGCCTTTTAGAAGCACATATACCTGAATGATCAAACTAAACAAAATAGAATTTGCACCTAAATTTCTCACCCTCTTAGTGCTGGCGGAAGAAGCCAGTGGGGTTTTGGCAGGAGAGTGACCTGCGGTGTCCTGTGGCCTGTTTCAATTCCAGAGTTTGTCCAGCGAGGCAAAGACTTGGTCAAGGCGTCACTGGGTCACCAGGCAGAGGGGATGGCAAAGCTCACGCGGGCCCAAGAAGAGGAACGGAGGAGCTTCCTGGCCGAGGCACAGCCGACCGCCGACCCAGAGGAGTTCCTCCAGGTGACCCTGCTCCCGACTCACCCCCACATCGGTGGGCACGGCCGTCCTGGGAGCGGCCATGCTTATTGGGTGGGATGTGGCCCTGTCCCCATTAGCCAGAGGCTTTGACATTGTCAGACACGAGGTCAACTCCTTACCTTCTACGTGTCAGCCCAGTCACCTTACTCTAGTCCCTTCAGCCCTGCGTCCCTGGCTTCCTCGTAAGCCAGAGACAAGCGCAGCACCACTCTCACTGGGCTGCTGGAAAGATGATTGGGAGAGTCCGTGGAGAGAGTTTCGCACAGGCCTGGCACAGGGCAGGGTCTGTATGGATGGCAGCCAGCATGCGGTAGCACCAAGAGGGTGCTGTGTGGACCAGAGGGGACAGGCGTGTCCCAGGGTGTAAGGCAGGCTCACACACACAGGGATGGGGCCCTCGCTGGGTCGAGTGGCAAGTCCAGGGGAAGGGAGGACCCTCCGTGTGGGCTGAGTGGCCAGGACCAGGGAGGGGGCCAAGCTAGAAAAGCCCACGGTCTGGGATGGGGACAAGGAGACCCGCAGGAGGACAGCGAGCAGGATGTCACCCTCCTTGACGGAAAGGAAATAAGCTGGTGCCAGCACAGGCTGGAAGGACCAGGGCTTGCAGTTCTCAGAGAGAACAGAACTCGGCCTTCGTCCTCGGTGTTTCCCGGCTAAGGGGCGGTGGGACTGGGGAGGGGCTGCTGGTCTGCCGCCATCCTGCACGGTGATCGAGCATTCCGGCCCTGGGGCCAGCCGGACCTGGGTTTAAACACTGACTCTGCTGCTAACTAGCTGAGTGACCTTGGGCACATTGCTGACCCCCCGGCCCTCAGGTTCCTCATCTGCACAATGGGAATAATAGCCCCTGCCTCATGGGGTTGTTGGGACTCCGCGAGACCCAGTAAGGGGCAGCCATGGCCCAACTGCTTCTCTGGCTCCTTCTGCTCTGTGTTAGCATCTGGTGCAGCTCGTTTCGGCTCTGCCGAGGGGATAGAGGGACAGTATCTGCATCCAGGCCGGGCCTAGAGCATAGGCAGGGGGCCCTCCCTGGGGGCCAGCATGGTGGCAGCAGCACCACTCCACTGAGAAGCCAGGGGAGGGACCCCCGAGAACAGAGGAGAGGCGTTTAGGTCCCTGGTCCAGCTGCCCCTCCCCACTCAGGGAGCCTCCTTCCTGGGCCCGGGCCTGGGGGTCCTAGGGTTCATCATAAAGGGACAGGGCTGTTTCTGTCTTTGAGAAGACCCATGTGCAATCAGAGGGAGAAGATGGGATTATCCAGCTCTTCGTTACTCAGGTTTCAGGGCCCTTCTCCCTGCCATCACATTGCTCAGTGCGAGTCCTGAGTGTGGAGAAGGTGATGCAGTCAGCTCTGCGTCCCAGGACCTCTGCACAGGGCAGGCACACGCTGATGTTCAGGAGACGTGGGAAGAAGGAAGGAAGGGTTGAGCACATGCATGCATGAATGAATAAATGAACAAACAGACGACTGAATGAAGAGATGATTGAATGGACAAACGAATGAATGAATGAGCAAATGAATGAATGAATGAGTGAGCAAGTGAATGAATAAACAAATGAATGAGCAAATGAATAAATGGATGAACAAACAACTGAAGGAATGAATGAATGGACAAATGAGTGAACACAAACTTCCGCCCCATGCTCGTCCCTCCCTCTTCTGGTCCCTGCCCTGCCCTCTCAGCTCACCTTCCACTCCAGGCCCCCATCAAGGCCAGGCGGATCCTTACTGCCCTGTCACTCCTGCTGCTCTCCCTGAGCCCGCTTTGTGTTGGCTTTCCATCTTCCCCCCCGGGGAACCCTTGCTTGTCCTTAAAACTCAGCTTGCATGGGGGATTTTCCCCTGTGGCCGCTCCCTAAGAGGATCCCGTCCCTCTGTGGTTGTGCCCCCCGTGGTTGTGTCTGGGGCGTCTGATGCACCCCTGTGTGTGCCCCGTCTCCCCACCGCTCTGCTGGGCTCCTCAGGGCAGGGCCCAGCCACGTGGTCAGCGGGGCCTGGCTGGTCACTGACTGCACTGCTCTCTAATGTCTAGAGTGCATCGCCCTGCTGGGCCGAGGGCCCCACTGCGTGGGTCTCCAGGGCCTGGCTGTTGGTCCCCAGCAGCTGAAGTCAGGGAATGATGTCCGGGTGGCTTATGTCCAGGAGGGAGCAGTGACGGGGTCATCTGGTAGCACCTCCTTGTACTGGGTTGGACAAAAGTACAGTCTGTGGTTTTCCTGGAGATCCTGGGCTTGGCTGTAATTTACAAGCCACAGAAGCCACGTGACGTCCCGGTGCCCCACTTTCCTTGAGCATAAATCAGGTGTGAATATCCTTTTGGTCTGAGAGGCAGGGGTCAGTTGGGGAGTGTTTTTTGGAAATCTGCGTTTTTCTACGGGATTCAGCTCCTGTTTTACTCACAGGCTTTCCACATGGTCCTGGAGAGGCAGAGGCTGACGCGGAGTGGCCTGGAGGAAGAGGAGGACGTCAGAGCCACCGAGGCCGTGGCCGCGCTCTGCCAGGTACGTGGTCTCAAGGGGGTACTACCAGAGAACCCTCAGGATCTGTGTGCGCATGAGAACCTCATCCTCCTGGGCCAGGGACCCCGAAGACCCAGGTTCAGGTCCAGCCCTGGCAGTCTGTGGCGGGGTGACCCAGGCAAGCCACTTGCCCTCGAGGGTCCCTACCGTGTCAGATGCCAGGGTCATATCTGAGGTACCTTTCATTTCCAAGGTGCTTGGGATCCTCACCTCCAAATGTTTCTAGAGGCAAAGGTCATTGGAGATCAGTTCACCCAGGATGAAAATAGGCTGGCATTTGTGGGTGTCGTCAGTGTAGAGCAGTGATGAGGAAGGAGGGCTGGGCTTGAAATAGGGAGGCCTGGGTTCGAATGCCGGCACTACCTCTTTCTCCCTGGACAACCTCGTGCAACCCTGGAATGGGAAGGTGAAGCCTGCCGCACTTGCCTCGAGGGCTGGCTTCAAGAGAACGGGAGAGAGCACCTGAGCCCTCCAGAGTGACAGGGGCTCCCCGGGATATGTTGATGGCCGAGACAGACGGAGCCCTCGGGCAGCACACAGAGCTGCTGGAAAGGCAGAAATGCAGACATCTGGTCACGAAGGAACGTGGCAGGTGCCACAGTGTGGGGTGGCGCTGGGGACAAGGGTCAGCTCTGGACTCGGCGGCCTGGGTCTGCATGCTATCTCTTTCCCTTCCTCGCTCTGTGGCCTCCAGAACGGTACCGGGCCTCTCTAGTTCTCAGCGTCCCCATCTGTGCAGTGGGGACGGTGGTGGCCCTTCTTCACGGTGGTGGGGTGAGCACTGAATGCACGTGAGGCCTCAGACGTGCCTGGGACACGCCCAATCCGTGTTGACTCCTGTTACAGGTGCAGAGAGGAGGGGCCAGGGGTGAAGGTGAGGTCAAGAACGGCTGTCTGCAGGAAGTGATGCCCGAGCCAAGCTTTGAAGGAGGAGCTGGGCCCCTCGGACAGGGAGTCAGGGGACACCCAGGCCCAGAGAAACACATGCAAGGCAGGGAGTGCATTTCCGCATCATGATGCTGCTGTCTTGGGTGAGCTGTGTCTGTATCAGTCAGCTCAGGCTGACAACAAAGTGCCCCAGACTCGGGGCTTAACAACAGGATTTTATTCTCTCCCAGTCCTGGAGGCTGGAAATCCCGGATCAAGGTGCCAGCAGGAGTGCGTTCTGTGAAGCCTCTTTTCCTGGCTTACGGATGGCCACTTTCTCGCTGTATCCTCACGTGGCCTCTCCTCCGTGTGCCCGCAGTAAGAGAGAGAGAGAGCAAGCAAGCACGTGAGCAAGAGCTCTGGTGTCTCTTCCTCTTATAAGGACACCAGTCCTGTGGGATTTTAGGACCCCACCCTATGACCTCATTTAACCTTAATTATCTCCTTAAAAGGCCCCATCTCTAAATATAGTCACACTGGGGGTTAGGACCTGCATATGAATTTTAGGGGGACACAATTCAATTCACAACAGTGTCCCCCAAAATTTCACGTCCACCTGAAACCTCTGAATGTGACCTTATTTGGAAGTATGTCTTTGCAGATGTAATTAGTGAAGATGAGGTCATACTGGATTAGAGTGGGCCCTAAATCGAATGACTGGTGTCCTTATGTGAAGCCCACGTGAAGACACAGAGACACAGGGAGGAAGACCGTGTGACAGTGGAGGCTGAGACGGGAGTGACGCAGCCATAAACCAAGCAACGGCTGGAGTGGCCAGGAAGAGCAGAGCCCTGGAGGCCTCGGGGAGCAGGGCCGGCACCTGGATTTCTGACTGCCAGCCTCCACAACTGTGAGAGAATAAGCCCGCAGTGTGTGGTGCTTTGTTACAGCACCCCAGGACACTGCTACAGGAGCTGGTCTTTATTCTGGGCCAGGCACTGTCTTAAGTACTTTCTGAGTATTTGGTCACTTCTTCCTCACAAGAATCGTTGAGGCGGAAACTGCATTTTCCTTCTTCCCAGATGAGGAGCTAGGAAGGAATTTCTTGAGAAATGTGCAGGGTGGGATTCAACTTGTCAAAGCCCCAGACCCTGCTGGGAGGAAATGAACACCCTCGTCCCCAGGGGAGTCAGGACTCAGTCCCTGGCCCGGGAGTGAGAAGCCAGTTCCAGCCCCTCTCTGGGTGCTAACAGGCTGTGTGACCTCAAGTTGGTTACAGAATCTCTGTGCTGCCCAAGCATCCTGCTCAAGTCCCGCAGCCAGCAAGCAGCGAAGATGGGATTTAAAGTAGATCTTTCTAACCTCAGCGCTGATGTTCTCGCCGGGAACCATGCCGCTCACTGTGGGCTGTGTAGGACAGCGGTGAAGACAGCTCTGGGGCCGAGCGGCCGGGGTGCCAGTCCCAGCCAGGCCAAGCTCCTGTTGTGTTTCCAATGGGCTGACACGCTTCCCTGAGCTGGGATGGAAATCTAAGATCTTGGTCAGTGAAGCCCCACTTTACTCGTCCAAAACCAAGGATTTAACACCCATCGATTATTGCCTGGAGGAGTCAATGGACGATACATATGGAAGTGCCTGGCCAGTCCCAGTGGGGGCAGGAAATACATCAGTTTCAATAAAGGTGTGTGGATGGCACTGAAGTGACCGCAGCCTCGTCCCTCCAGCAGTGTCCTTAGGATGTTATGCATTTGGTTTTACTGTGCCTGCAGCTAGTTGCTGGGCCCTTGGAAGTGTGGACCAAGAAAGTGAAGCCATACTTTTTTCTAACGTCAGGAGAGGCCATCAGGTGTGAATGAGGAGGGGTGCCTGCTGGGGTCTCTATCTCAGGAGGAGGTACTCGGAAATGCACTGCGGTAGATGGTCCCGGGCAAGGTGCAGGTGTGCGTGTGATTCCGCCCATCCGCAGAGGTGTTTTGGAAGGAAGGAGCTGAGGGCCTGTGCCAGCCTGTCTCCCAGAATCAGTCAGAGGTGTTTCTTAGATTCACGTCAAACCCTCTGGTTCCAGATAACTTTGGTCTATTTTACATTCCTTAATTGTGGAAATCATTGCCTTTGGTTATTGGAAACTGCTTTAACCTGTTATTTCCAAAAGGATGAGGTTGAAATCCTTTGGTGTAGCAGAAGGAAACTGACTGGGATCCTGGCGGTGCCATTTCTGCCCCGGGGGACCTCAGGCAAGAGCCTGGATCTCTGAGCTCGTTTCCTTGTCTGTGAAATGGAGACAGAGCCCTGTTGACCCTCATGGCAGCACAGAGTACAGGAGAGCGTGGCTGGGGCCCGGGGCCCAGCATGTGGTACGTGCTCGGTAACTACGTCTCACCTGCCCCACCGGTGAGCGTGTTGAGCAGAAGGCCTTGAGCCTGGGGCTGAGAAGCTGGCTCTGGATCCAGGGCCTCGTGTGCAGCTGGCTTCCTCACCGGCTAGCTGTGAGCTTGGGAAAGTTAGCTCATCCATTCTTTCGTTCAACAAATATTATTGAGCTTTGTGCAACCCACAGTCTCAGCCCTGGGGCCTCTGCAGCGAACCAAACAGATAAAACGCTTGTTTCCGTGAAGCTCGAGAGGCGGCAGCATGCTTCCGTTCCAGAAGCAGAAAGCAGGCAGTGTGGTAGCACTGGGGAGTGGGGGAGCAGGATACGGGCTGAGGTCAGAGAGCCTCATCTTGTAGGGCCTTACAGACCATCTGAAGACGTTTGTGTTGATTTCAGAGCGAGACGAGAAGTCGCCGGCATGTTTTGAGTAGGGAAGTGACTTGCCTTAAGTTCTCCAAGGATCCCTCTAGCGTCTGTGCAGAGGAAGGACTGTACGGGGCAAGGGTGGAAGCAGGGAGACCTGGGGGAGGCATCGCAGGTCCAGGCAAGAGAGGATGGGGCCTGGGCTGGGATGGCACTGTTGGGGGTGATGAGGAAGCATGGGATCAGGGTCTATTTTGATGGCGAACATCTCAGTCTTCTCTGTTAAAATGGGGATAACAAGCTTTCTTCACATGCCTATTTAGAGGTTTAAATAAGTTCGCATGTACAAAGCATATAGAAGTGCGTCAGGCACATAGTGAGCACTCAGAATACGTTATCATGGTCATCGTTACCATCACTCACTGTCTAGAAGGATGTGTCTGCACAGAACATGCTCACGAGATAACTTGGCTTGCAGTCTGGCTGGCTCTTTCCTGGACCTGGTCACAACGAGGCATAACTGCCTCCTTTCTTTGGGTATGACACTGGTCATGATATTGTGGGCGTGGTGGCTGTGAGATAACTTTGATGACCGCCTAAGGGTTCTCAGGCCACAGAGAAAACTGCATTTTTCTAAATTCCCACTGTCTCTTGGCCTTTAAACAAACGGTAAATTCTCGGTTTGCTTGAGGCAGATGCCACTAAATTACACGTCTTGGCACCTCATAAAGAGATTCCTGAAACAAGCCCAGAGTCATCCGGGTAATCACGGCTCGGAGCTTGCACCATCCCACACCAGGTGCCATGCAAACCTGCTTGTTTGTCTGGATTTCATTCCTGACTGTCCTACCCACACTGTTTCCCTTGAAAAGCTCCTGGGAGAGTGTGGTGAAGTAACAGCCCTGCCAAGCTTGAGCCTTCTCAGCTTCAGGGTCTCATGGGAAGTTACAGCTGAGGAAAATGAAGGAAAAAGTGAAGCTCTGTCCTCGAAGGACACGGAAATAATAATAATAGGCACTTATGAAGTGTTTGGGAGTAGTCTCCAAGACCACGCTCACTACTGATACCAACTGTAGGTTCAGGGCTCCCCCAGACCACCTTCAGTTTCTTTAAATCTCCAGAGGGACTCACTGAAAGCTGTTCTACTCACGGCTATGGTTTATTTCAGCCAGAGTACGGGTTAAAGTCACCGAGAGAAGAGGCACATGGGCAGAGTTCCAAGCATGGAGCTTCTAGTTGTCCTCTCCCAGTGGAGTCGTGGATGGTGCTAACTTCTGGCAACAGCGTGTGACATTATACGCTGAGTGTTGCCAACCAGGGAAGCTCACCTGAGCCCTGGCGCCCACAGCTTTTATTGGGGCTCAGTCACATAGACATGGTT